AATCGAAACCAAAGCCAATCAGAGCAATTAAATCATCACCTGAACTGCCGAGTGTCCAGATCTGAGCCAGAGTCAGTTTTTAAGGGCACGACGATGTTTTTGTCAACTGGGGGTAAACCGGGGCCTACCGACCCCTCATCCTAGACCTTAATAGACAGAGGTTTTCCATAATGACTCCCAAGCCATGTGGACGTTTTCCTTTAATTTCAATGATTAGCACTGTTAACACCGTGTTGACACCCTGGAAAGACCTTGTTTGTGGGCAGAAATCCTCCAAACCACTGCTGTCCACCAAAATTCCCACGGAGGAAACCACCGTCTTTGGCCCGGATGGCATGGGTCATGGCCGGGCGCCTCAGCTGGTCGGACGCCCTGCCAGTGCCTGGTTGTGGGGCGACCAAACGCCAAGCTTCCGGAAATTCAGGATTCGAATCCCTGTGGTCTTTGAGAAGAATCATCGCAAGAAGTCCCAACCTTCAAATGACACACCCATTGGTCGCTAGGAGACGCTTGGGACATTTCTGGCTCTCTCACAGTTGATTCCGATGCCCAACTGGGCCCTCGTGCTGCACCTGATACGGATGGCCTTTCTTTTTTGCAAGCAAACCCACCATACTCAACCACAAAACCACACTCAACCACAAAACCACACTCAACCACAAAACATGGTAAATTGCTGTAAAGTGGAGAATCGACTTCCTCGCAACCCTTCGGGCACCGTACATTCGCGCCCATGGCGAGGCTGCAATTGGGTCATCGACGGCAGACAAGAGCTCCTGGCCGCAGATGCCTCATATCCGCGAGCCCCTTCGATGCTTTCAAAACAAAGGGCTTTTCTATTCTTGGTGGCTCCCAGCCATCCGGTTCCTTAGCCTTTTAGCTTTTCAGTGTTTTAGTGGGGTTTTCCGTTTAGCCCACTAAAAGCTAAACTTTTAGCGAGGATCTGAGGACAGCAGAGTATTGAACCTACAAAAGGCTAGACCTTTGTCTCGGGGAGGAAGAGCGACCCAGTGGAGGAGACAAAAGGCAAGGCCTATAAGATTAAGTCGTGGTATTCCAAGCAGCCTCCCCTGGAACCCAAAACCGGAACTCAAAACGCAGCCGCTCCCAACCACTGGAGCCCAGGCGAAGACAGCAAGCTTTCAGCTGGAAAAACGCGATTGAGTTCCTGGACCTTCGACTTTTCGGGGCGTTCGGACAATCCACGCAGTGAGACAACCTACGTACAAGCAGGTCACCGGTTTTGTTGGCGGGGCGCGGTGTTTTTTGGAAGGACACTTCACTTCACACCGGGTGGGATAGGTGATCTGCCGATTGCAAAGCAGTACCACGAAGAGAGATCTCAGATGTTGGGGCATACCACCAAAGAGACACGGGGTATAACAACCACCATCAGTTATACCACACCATGAGATATTCGATGTCTTTCCTGTTTTGTGAAACAAACTCTCTTGAGCCACGAGGGCCTGGGGGCCTGGGGATCTGGCTAGGTGAAGATCCCCAAGGAGTTGGGGGACAAGAGTTTGCTGCCGAAGGCCTTGACGGAGGAGAGAGGGCGCCTGGTTGGCTGGCCTGAAAGTGGATGTTTGGACGTGGATGCTTTCACACGCGAAATTCCCACTCCCTGACTGTGGCGTTAATTGAAGTTGCATTTGGAGGGCCCTCTCAACATTACCTTTGGGACCCTTTAAGGGCAATCCCTTGCCAGCATGTTGCTCGGTGAATTTTGCAAGTGTAATGATTAAGTGTAATGGACCCAGTTTTGGTTCAGGAGGCAACACGACAATGGTTGCATGCGTGTTGTGTTCTTTTAGGGCACCCTTTTGAAGGAACATCAACGGCGAATCACCTGCATTTTGTCTTGGCTTAAGTGGTTTGTGTGGTTTCATTCAGGATGTGCAGGCTACAGACAACTTAATGTGTTTTGGGTGCTTCCTGACGCTGTCGAGGAAGAACCGGTGCAAGACGGGCAGAAGTTCCCCTCTGCGGATTACGGTATGCCTGGGGACTCCTATCGCTGGCGGCTTAGTCTGGATCCCTCAATAGGGGTCGCACTTGGAGGGGCACGTTCTCAAAAAGTGCTTCTTGGCAGCGGTTGCCCTTCAAGCCAACAAAATGAGTAATGAGGATCACACACACAACACACAACACAAAACACACACACAGGCAACACACACACACAACACACGCAACACAAACAACACAGACCCGCACGCATGCACCCACACACGCAAGCACGCATGCACGCAGGAGCGCACGCCCGCCCGCACGCACGCACGCACCCACACACCCACGCACGGAGGCACGCACGCACGCGCGCACACATGCACGCGCGCACGCATGCACGCGCGCACGCACGCACGCGATGCACTCGACACACTCGCCGCATGCGACGCACGCGTCACGCATTGCAAGGGACGCACGCGGCGCACGCATGCACGGACGCACGAACGCGCGCAGACGCGCACGCGCTCCCACGCACACCCACGCTCACACGCGC